GGAGTGAAGCATTAAGTCTGAGAGAGAAATGGGACGTAAAGATTCACTTTAGACTTTCCTTTTGTCTATTATAGCTCTCAAAGCAGCATTCCAATTTTCTTCTGTTGCTTCCATGGACAATTCATTATTTTTTAAGTAGACTGTGGAATTGCTGAATCTCTGCCTTACAGCTGGGCATTACCCAGAGTTGTCTGTTGGCTCAAACCTTACATGAATTCGTTACATAGCTCCTACTGATCCAATGGTCTTGTAGCAAACAGAGTATCTTTAACCTATTAAATATTTGCTTTTGATCCAATAGTTAAATCAGCATCATCCTACCAAACAGCTGAAATCATCCCCAAACTGATTTAACTAGTTAATAATTAAGCCAACCACAAAGGAGCAGCGATACGCTTGAACTGGCTTTTGCTCTGCATGGAAATTTGAGCTAGCTTGTTCCCTAACTTCTCTTCAGGACCTGAACACTGCTGTGGGCAGCTGTGAATCATGTATCTTCAGCTGGGACTTAAATCTTTGAGTCCTGTATGGGATTACAATCTGGTTATTTACAAAAGAAATGATACCAAGCAGACAGAGAGCATTGCTTCTCCTCTAATGACAGTAGCTGGGTACACAAGAAGTTCCAGAGAGTTTGAGGATGTCAAACTCAAGAGAGGGACCTTGTATCACATTTAGAAGTGCTATTTATCTGTATATAAGCAAATACAGAATACAAGAGGAGTAAACACTTAGAAGATATATGTACACATTCAAAATAAATAAGATCAAGTTTCTTTCATTATCAGTATTTGGTTTTGCTTCTGTTTAATTTAGCAGAAACATTATCACTCTGTTCAAGAACACTTGCAATCCTCTATTTTCAAAAGGGATGAATTCAGATACCCTTTTTATCCGAAAGAAAATTAACCTCGACTGGTACGTAATGCTTCCCTAAACAAAAAATTTACTTGCTCTTCCTTAATGACCAAGAGCAACTACATGCTAACAACGTGCAATATTGCTTACATAAATCAGACATTACTTGAAAATAATTTCAAAGATAAAATCAGGAGAGAAAATAGACATCTCTGACACCACAGAATAATCTCTTGGAATAATGTGGCAAAGTAAAACATCTCATCAGATATCAGACATCTTAAAGGGACAGCAAAATTTAAAAATGCATAGTATTTTGAAATATAGACACTGTTGAGAAATCTCCATTTGAAAATATTTCTGCATTTTAAGCTCCTTTTAATCTGACACCTTAATCCATTTCATACACGCAGTATTTTCATTCAATTCCTGTTTCTACTGCACTTCAAACACCAAATTCAAGAGATATGAAATGAAGGTGCTAATTTACCAGAATTGCATCCTTTTTAAAGAAGTGGTTTTCTCAGGACGCAGCTATTACCTGAGAGAGCTCAGTAAGGAACTCAGATAAGTTCTCGCCACTTTCTAATTCCTTCCTGCATTATAGATTGCAGATGCTGAGAGCCAAACCTACAAATGCAACTATATTATTTACAACCACAGACAAATGTAACAGACCACAAGAAATAAACCAGACACACTGGACAATGCTTACTATTTAATCTTTAAATTTATATTTAGTAGAGTATTTAGACCTGCTCAAATATATGAAACACTTGCGATGCCTGTTGATCAATGCTTAAAAAGATTACTTAAATGCAAAGAATCACTAAAATGATTAAGTTTTATTTGATATCTGGTGCTTTCAGGGATTCTGTAATTCAATAACTGCTGCACATTGGCACAAACCTATTGATTTAATAGTGATATGTTCATTTATGTTAACTTGGTATGCTCCACATTGTCACTTAGGGGTGCTAACAGCTGTATGACAGGATATTCCAACATTATTTTGCTACAAAATCTTACACTTTGATAAAAAGCTGTTATGAATCTGCTTTATATTTAAATCATGCTTTTGTGATACTGCAAAAAGCAAAAATATAGATACCTGTAATTAAGTTTGGTGGTCTGTGATTTTTTTCCCTTCCCGAGACCAGCAGTAGGAATGTTACAAAGGTATTATGATAAAATTCATCATAATGAGACAATACACAGTCAAGAACCAAAGTTTAAAATCTCATACCATGACTGATGAGAGATAAAAAATTTATAAATCAGAACTGGATGAGAGATGTGGCCCACTTGTCACTTCATATTCAGCTCTAATGAATCTCATACCATTACTGATGAGAGATCAAAAATTTAAAAATCAGAACTGGATGAGAGATGTGGCTCACTTGTCACTTCATATTCAGCTCTAATAGCCATGGAATCTGGAGCTGGCCAAAAACTTTTGCTTTGGCCATGGAATCTTCTGGAGCTGGCCAAAAACTTTTGCTTTAGGGGAAATAATTTCTCTTCATTTTTTAAAATAAAAGAAATTCTTATGGAATTGAATAGCTACTCTTCTCTTGAAACAAAATCTGTGGTCTTTTGTTTAGGAAGCCCTGAAATGAAATCTGTTTTCAGAATTCCTCGAAGTTTATTAGCAAAATTTTTTTTTGTCAATTTTGCTGTTTCTATTCAGCATACAACAAAGCTGACAATAATTGCATTGCTTTCATATACAACTGCTCATAATGTCCTTGCCATTATGACCAGAGAATTACAACAAAGCTGACAATACTTGCATTGCTTTCATATATAACTGCTCCTAATGTCCTTGCCATTATGACCAGAGAATTCTAGAAATTTGGAAATCTTGATTTGCTCTTGCCAGGCAAAACTTAGGTCTGGAGACTGAAGGTCTAGTACAGAGCCAATCCTTAGCAAAACCCAAAGCTCTCAAGAAGGTCTGGGAATCCTAGAGTCTGTAGTGCTTTTCAGCTCCTGCATCAAGGATATGGGATTGTGGAGAGCTTCAGCATTAGGAGCTGCCTGTCCGATAGCACTTTGGTCTCTGGTGACCACCCTTTGTGCCATCTTCTGCAAACCTGGACTCCCAGGGAATGCCCCACAGCTGAAGTTTTAGGCTCTGTAAAAGCTTCCAAGAAATTTGAGTGTTTCATTGGAACTTTCTACTTTTACAAGATATACAGGTTTTAGGGGGAAAAAAAAAATAAATAAGCACTTTCAGTGATTTTTACAAAAGATGTCAAATGCCAAAGGACAACTAATTTTAACTTTGAAATCTTTGGAAACTTTTGGTTTCTGAAACGGATGTGACTTATAAAAAGGATCTATAATTATATGCTGAATCCATACTACATAGATGAATATTTGTTAGCACTGCATGTGAAGGGGGAATGTTCCCAGCATAAACTGCCAGGCAGATATTTGAGTAGTGCTTTGAGCAGAAACAAAAATATCCTGCCTGAAAGAACCAGCTAATCTTTCCTATGTCAGAAATCTAAAACATACCTGAGAACCAATGATAAGCTGAATAAGGTGGCAATCATCCAATTAAGAAATGCAGGAATTACATTACCACTCTAAATCTGCCAGTACTGCATTAATTTCTTTCAATAAAAAAGGTGGTGGCAGGGGGCTGGGGGGAAGAGGTGGCAATGACCACGTACACACTGAGTTAAAAGTGCCTACTTCTGATAACAAGTTATGCAAATTTTTCATTCCATTTTCCTTGGTTGCTATAAATGTTGCTTCCTTTTTTTAAAAGATGCTGTATTATCTAGCACAACCAGGAAAAGGCTTTTGTTAAAAATACTGATATCTATGTGTTCTCTTGGGGAAAGTGGCTGTTGTAAGAGTACTTGTTAGATGAAAGGTTAAAGCAATTTGCCTTGAAAATAGAAACATATATACAGAAAAAAATTCTCCAAGGATATGCTACAGACAGGGTTTTTAAACAATTATCTCCTTCCTGTCACATTAGCTAAAATTTATCTGCAATTACTAAAACCTAAGTCAATGTAATTAAGTTTTTAGCCATCTTTTTTTCTTAATTTACATCTGTTTCAATATCCAGCCTCCCTGGCAAAATCTACCTGGCATTTGAGAACCATGTCTTTTCCTATCACAAACTCTGCTTGTCAAATCAATCCCAATTCTCTCTTCAGAGGTGGTTTATCATCAGGTACTTACTAGAAAATTTCTCTAGATGGGAAATGTGAAGGAAAGGAAATGGAATCCCTTTCCCTGAACTGCTGCTACCTGTGAAAGGCTGACAAAACCAAAATGTCTTTTGCCATTAAAACACTACTATGCATGCATATGCTAGTCATAGGTAACAGTTTCTACATGCCTTTCAAGAGCTCTAGCACTGGAATTTATTTTAAATCAGAACTTGCCCTGTTCTAGATTGACTCAACTTCAAAGATGCAACAAAACCCCAGAAGGATGAGAGCATTTTAAAATCAAAATTAGAAGAACATTATTTATTCCAAAGAACACAAACCCCACATATGTTTAACAAACTCTTCACCTTCCCTAGACTGACAGCCTGCGTAGCATCTGAAGACAGATGAGTGCAGATAACACACATTTGATATTCAGGATGCAAGGTTGCCCTGTACTTTAGGTTGCATTAACTAATTTTAATGTACAAGTGATTAATTTGCCCCCTAGTGTAACAGTTACGACAGATATGGCTGAATTGACTACGTTACTTCATTATTGCTGTCTCCACATTGGTATAAGCATCATTCTCAACCAGAAGCCATAGGCTCAATGTAAATATTACTAGGTGAACTGGCCTATGTTACTCAGGAGCAAAATGTGATGAGTAAAATTTTTTTCTGCCTTAAAAATAGACAGATGAACCAGTAACAGAAAGCTGAAGCAAAAAATTCTAAACCAAAAGGCTATTATTTGTGCATTTATATTGTGTGTGTGGTGAACAAGAGTCTTTACTGAAATCCTCTGCTGCAGTAAATTAACAAACTTAAATGTTGAGACTGATAAACAACGGGAAATATAAAGCCATTTTGCACAGGCAGATGCTCCTTTAATTGTGCTGACTCTTTACACAGCCATTCTGGCCATCTGACACTTGAGGATAATTAAACTGAAAAGCACCATACCTTACGCAGAGGTTTGAGCTTGGTCTCCATTATAAAGTCATACTTGCAGAGTTCACAACAGCGTGTGTCTGAGCTCTTAATCCACTGGTGCAAGCAGGCCTGATGAACAAAGCGCAGGGTCCCTGTGCAGCGACACGGTGTGATGAGGGGACTTTCATCATCTCCCTCACAGTGACAGATCCTGACAGGAAGGACAGTGAGAGCCAGTGAGGGAACTTGCCAACCAGCAATGCAAAGACACTGGTTTATTAAAACTGATTTTTCATCTTCAAACTTGACATTCAAAAGATGCCAGGTATATGACCTTTCAGATTGAGGCCCAGGAACATATTCCTTGTTCCTTTCTGTCACTTAGTAATTTCTCTTCACTTAGGTATTTCTCTTTGAATTTGCTACATAGTCTGAAGGTGAATCAATAGAAATGACACTGTTTTCCCCTTTTATGCATGGCAAAACCATTAAGACAAATATCATCTCTTTCTAAGAGTGAAATGGCTCTTGGTCTGTCAGTAATGCCAATATACTGCAGGGTAGAGGAATCTAACCCAAATACAAAATATCCAGCATGAAAAGTACAAAAGTTCCTAGGACACCTCTTTGGAGTTACACAGTTAAAAGAATCAGAGAGCAGTTTTGAGTACTCTGGAGTCACGAGTATGGCATACTGTATACACACATGCATGCACTTTTTAGGAGGCAGGTGTTAAAAAAACCATGGTCCTTTTTTTTCATTTGCCACTGTTCCTTTGAAGCAGACAGTTGCAATTTCTAGGCAAACAAAAACTACAGCTGGAAGGAGATCCTAAAATAGAGGTTGCTCCCAGAACTGTTTTACCTTATAATGGGATACAGAGCTTTTCATGTTGTTGTTTTGCATAAAGTGATCAGTGTTCTAACATCTTAATCTGATGGGTTTCTTCTGTGACACATGTCCAAATGTTCAGGTGATCTTCCCCTCTTCCAAACAGTCTCCTGATCATATCAGGAAAACATTCACACATCAAAACCAATGACAGCTTTATTGGGAAGCATCTCTGTGAAGGCAAAGAAATCTCTATGGTGAGCAGAAGGCTTAATCGAATACCTGAATTTAAGGAGGTTCACCTCAATGAAGAATAACTGTTTTTCATCCCCAACTCAGAAAAACACAACAAGGCATCCATGCCCTAATGAGTGTCTGAAGGGTCAAACTGGCATGCAAGAGGAGGAAAAAAAAAAAAGCTGAAGCCTAGGAAATGTTATTTCAAAATGGAGAAGTAGCAATAACAGCACAGAATGTGGTGTCACACAAATGAAAATTAGATACTTAGTACTTAGGAATGTCACCATCAGACAGGTGTCTGAACACACCTGAGGAGTAACTCACCCTCTTACACAGAAAACTGTGACTGCACTGCTTCTGGGGTAGGAGAAGGCATAGGTGAGGCCGGCGATGAGGTTGCCTTCATACTGGTCAGGCTAGGGAAGAAGGGCAACCTTCTTCCTAGCACAGGAGCCCCTGGTGTGCATCAGGAGGCAGCCAGGCAAAGACACCCTGTGTGACTGGCTACTGCACAGCTCTGAGGCTGCCAAGTCTACAAGCAGAGGAGGAAATTCTAATGTTTACATGAAAGATCTTTGGATCAAAACCAGCAGCTTCACTTCTTCCATGGCATAGCCCAGAGCCATGTGAAAATGAATCTACAAAAATGGGAAAGCAGAACAAAGCTGCTTTACTGGATCCATAGACATAAAGAGACCAAAAAACCCCAACAAATACATGAAGCTCTGGAAACCTGGTCCACAAAAGCCAGGTTTCAGTGTCTGCAGTGGTGCTCATACAGGATTTCACAACCCATGGCAGTGGAGGGGAGAAGAAAATACCCATAATGTCCTTCTTGCACACATTCATTTTCTGAGACACATTTTACAAGAACTCAATTTACAGCCTTTACTAATCCAGCCAAGCTCTGTGCATCAGTAGCTTAACTATTATATGAAAACTGCCTATATGGTGACTTCTTATTGAGCCTCTAGCTTAAGTAGAAGTAAATTTTCAAAACACCGAATAGTTATTTTGCTAACAAATGCATTCCCAGATGAGAGTTAGATAAAACTCATCATTTTCTTTTTAAATTAAAGCTATTCCCCAAAGGAAAACCAGTATTCTTTGTTCATTTAAATTCAAGCTATACATAATTTATTTTACAGCCTCAGCATTTAAACTATTTAGAAATTAGACAACTAAGCTAAGTACCCGATAGCCTTTTTTGTACTTCTGCTAGGATTGTTTAAAATTATTTTCAAAGTTAAAATGCAAGCTTAAAACTCCACTGGGATCTTCAAATAAAGCAACACTGCAAATTTGAAATGAATCGAAGTAATCTTGAATAGAAATATATCTACAGAAAAACACTATATGCATTATACATTCCATCTGTGCTTTTGTCATACAGAAGTTACAAGCCAAATGTATAAACAACAGGGTGACACTAAAAACTTCTAACTAATGGCTTTGTCTAGCTTTATAACCATGAAATATGCAATGAGAATTAAACCAAACCTTAATAGGAATTCTAGTCCAAAGAAAATAACCAAAAGCATGGTTTTCATTATCTTGGATGCTCTTTGGCCTCTTTGGTGCAGTTTAGCTCTTTATTAGTTGTTTAAACACAAGAAATTATCTTAAAAGAAATTCATGCTACCTAAATTCACAATGACAGTCTTTAAAGATATTTGGGTGACTGGCAGCAATGATAACAGACTGTTGGCTAAACACTTAAACATCTTCTGGAGACTGGGACCAGATAACTTGTACTATCTTCCTCTCACATTAGTACCAAATCAGAATTTAGTCTGTCTTTGCCCTTTGCTGTATTAATCTATAATGTACTTCACAATTTTGACAAATTGCAAAAAAATAAATTGTAAATAATGGTTTTGAAAAATTTGCTGTGCAAACCAAATGAAGGCAGAGACACAAAGCACAGACTTACCTGAACCATAGCTAAACCAAGTAGGAGGCACAGAATTTCCATTCTAGTTTCCTATTGTCAGATGATCACAACTGTTGAAACTTTCATGCAACAGACTAAATATTTATAGGGCTGAACTTATCCTGAGAGCAAAATTTGCTTGCATACTTTAGAAATTAGTTTCATGGAAAATAACCCATTCTCTACTACAAGAAAAATTAAAATAAAATATAATTTGCCAAATCTATACTGATTTATTTACAAATTGTAGTACAGCACTGATCATGGTTAACAGCTGCAGTTTCAGCTGCTCAGACACACCTACAGAATTTAAATACTCAGCTTTTCTCAACTTTCTAGTCCTTTACTAGGTAAGTGGCCTTCATTATAGAGCAGTACTTTTGACTACTTAGAAATGGAAGTCAGTCAGGTATTAAACCAAATCCTTTTAGTTACAAGTCCTGTACACTCACAAATTGAGCCTGCAGAATGTATTTTTTTATTTGGTTTGGCTTGGTTTTTTTGGGTTTGACAGCTTAGTGCTGTAAAGATTCCTGTCTATGAACAAGGACCTTGTCCAGGGGAAAAGATGAGCACAAGGCTCCAAAGGAGCTTTTGCCCTGTAAAGCACATGTACACCAGACAACACAGAGTATATGAGCCACTAGATGATCTTCTGATTCAGATGTACAAAATTTTGTGTGTGTGTGTGTATAATATGCACCTACAGACTGAGATCCTTACACACTGAGATCACAGAATATCTATATTTCTTTAAAGAAAGCTCACTGTGAATCCTTATGAAATAATACTCTAACAGTGCTGTCATCCTTATGCTTGAGTTTTTGCTTTATATGCCAGTATTTTAATTATCCAGCACATATTTATCTAGCATGGAATTGTTTCTATAACCTTCCACACACAGATGTACCAAAAAGAGACATTAAGGTCAACACTGTGCATCTACCAGATGAAAAAAATCCACAAAAATTCTGTCAAGGATGTTTTTAAGCAGCAGTATCACTTATAATGCACCAAATTAGCAAAATGAAGAATACTTTTCAGTTAAAAATGAAAAAAAAAAGCTAAAACTGAATACAAAATCAGTGCTTGTGAAAGATTTTGTGTAATTCATATAAAAACTAAAAAAAAACCAAAAAACCCCAAACCCAACATAAACCAAAACAACACCTCAAAAAGAAAGAGAACAGTTCAAATAGTTCAATGTAGAAAAGTTTTAGAGAGAAATGTATGCAAAAATGGAAAATTAAAGAAATTTACTATGGACATTTAAAATTATTTTTCAGTATTTTTTGTTTAAAATAATAATTGAATTTAAAGCATATTCAAATGGTGCTGAAAACCTCACTGTTAGTGCAATGCTTGATTGAGAAATTGTATGTGACATATTAAACTTTGTACCATAGTGACTATGTAAAATTAGTAAGCAAAGTTGCTAGCAGTTTGAGGCACAGCATCTCCTTCACTGAAGGGCATATTGCCACCACACATATATAAACAAAGAGAATTTCTTATTGGATTAAAAGAACGAGATGCATCTTAACAAAATACATCTTCAGAATGTGACATTGTCATGCTCTCTGACTGTTTTCTCATTTTCCCATGGTCCTGTTTATTGCAAAAAATAGAAAGCAGGAAGGGAACTACAAAACAAGTCTACAAGTTGTAGGCATTCATATGCTTACTGGATTTCAGCTGATTTTCAGAAAAACAGCATGAGCTGTCTTGGATTGCTGTCCACTTCTCCATCAAATTAAGATTTTTTTTTCCATACAGACAAATATTTCTCAGTTTAAAAGGTCAACTAAAATCAGTACGAAAGAAGGAGTTTACATGAAAACCTCCAGGTGTTCCCAACAGTGACTTTTTTTTTTGCAAAATCACAGCAACCAAAATTGCAATCTAGATGGTTAACATCTATTCTGCTTATTGCAAGAGATTCCAACAGATTTGTGACTGCTTCACATGCAGTTAACACTTGTACTTTCATTAAACAGAATAGCTGCTAACCTAACCAGTTTGAGGTTGGACTAGAAATACATCTTGCAGTGTACTTTTACTCACAGGGAATACAGTTGGAGAACCCTGAGACCAATCCTCAGCGTGGTCTAGACTTACATGGGAAAAGTGATGGTGATCAGAAAACCAGGCTCCTTATCTGAACTGAAGCACTGACAGAGGCTCCTTCACTGACAAAATTAGGAGCAGCTACAGCCTTATGACTGTAGTCTGTGTACACCAACTGTGATGCAGTTCCTAGGCAGTGTGAACTAAATTAATGAAGATGCCCAATACCCATAATACTGTCATTTTGGATACCAGCAGAAGAGAAAGGCTTTTGAACTTGTAACAGATAGATACTTGTAATAAAAGAGGGAAATATTTTCTCTGTATAAATACGTTTGAGGAAGATAATGTCTATTCAAGAAATATTATTATTGGTGGCAAATCATTGAAAAGGCATTTGAATCTTGCCCTTCACTGGAAAGCACACGTGGACTCATAATGATTATGCAAAGAAAATTCTTACCCTGTTCAGTGGGCACATCTCATCGCTGTATCTCACTGTTGCTAAAGGGAGCTTAGTCAGGGAGAAGCAGCAGAGCTGGAAAATGTTGGAGCAAGTGAATCCCTGGATTTGATTTTTGGCTGTGAGGATTATTAGCTGCCAGCATGAAATACCATGAGTTCCTAGGTTATCTTAATTGAACCAAAAGGAACCAATTCCACAGGATTGCAAAAGGATGCACAAAATTGCTGTCACTACTGTCTGATGTTTTTCTTAGGAAAACGATCATTCTGTCCAAAAAAGGTCATATTCTCTTCTGCCAATTTATAAAGTGCTTACAGTGCTTTTACATAGTTAGAATCCAGACTTAGAGCAAACAACTTTATGAACAACTCACAGCAAGTAATTGTCATTCATAAACAGAATCCACAAAAATATCAAACTCTGCTCATGCATAATTTATCACTTGAAAAAAAAAGTTACATTCACTAAATATGTTTACCCTGCAGTAGGCTACAGCATGCCATGTTTCTCATGCTTTCATTTTACAGGCTTTTTTTTTAAATCTCATTTTAATTTTTTTCACTTTTAAATCATAAAGTAATCTAAATGACAAATTGGTCTTCCTCTCCATTTAAATACAGTGTGAATGAAGCACATTAATTCTCCATACCAAATGTAATCAATTTGTATACCTCTTCCCTGTCACTTCTGCCCTTCCATTATGCTATACAGTCAGCTGTCTTTACCTGAGTAGAGGAAAAAACATTTTCAAAACGTTGCACCACACTGGTGGAATTTCATAATGGCCTAGGTAAAGCTTTCTCTTGATTTTTGCAAACGTGATCAGAATTCGTAATAAACCCAAGAGCGAACAACATGAGAAAAAGCACACTAAATATTTTGTTAACATTTCTCATCCTACTATTAATCTTCCATTATGGGTGATAAATAGGATATCTAACCATCTAAAGAGTTACAAGTAACTGCTGCCTCAGATGCACTGTCAGTGCAGTTCAAGATACATGTCTGACAAGATTTACTGCACTGAACAACTTCAAAGAACTAGGGACTGCATTTTAAACCAGGATTTAGATTTCCTCCCACCTGCCTAGTAAGAGTCAAAGCTTTAAGGAACTAAACTCCATACACAACATATGCAAGCTTTAAGTATTTAATAATGGGACCCTTAAAATTAAGGGTCGCCTCTCACCCTAACTTTCTAGAAGGGAGCTATGTCATTTCACCTATTTTCTTGAAAAATAAAACTAGGTTTTGAGAGAAAGAAGCAGAAACCAGGAGTCAGTTCTCCCCCAGGTAAGTAAGTCTAACCACAACAAAGACATGCTTGCCTTGCTTTGGCTCTCCTTGCACCCTTGTGAATCATGGAGAACTTCCAAAAGAGACTGCACATCCAGATGGCTGAAGAGGTGACAGATGGGGCTTTGAACTATCAGGCAGAGAACAGAATTAACCATAATTTCATACTGCTTGAAAGACTGATGAACTACCAGACCATCACACAGAGGAGGAGATTCCTCAAAAAGCAGGAGATTCCTATCAGACAGCCACCTTGCAAAAATAAGGCTCTAAATAGGAAAGTAAGCTAGAGTCACATTCTTTTAAAGGAAGGTGTGAGGAGTCAACATGCAGGATAAGAGTCAGAGACTTGGCTCCTAATGAACGTGTCATCCTGAGACCACAAGGAAAGCATTAATGTCCCATGCAGAAACAGGTCAAAAACCTGCTTCAGCCAAACACTAGAGTCGGGCAGTAGAGCATCCTCCAGTTCTCTGTGATTTTAGAGGGCTCTGGATGGTATTTCAAGTCTACATATTCAATTCATAATCATGTGCAATGTAAAGTATTTCTTCCTATCTACGATTAGCACACAGAAACGTCCATATTAGTCTTTTCCTAAGTTTATAATGGCCTTTTAATTTAATTTAAACTGATTTTTGGTTCTGCAGATCTCATGAATCAACTTCATCATCTCCCTTCATTCTTCTCCCCATCCTTACCTGTCTTCTGGCATGCCCTACTCTTCTAGTTACTCCTCAAATGAAGGTCTGCCATTATCTGACTACATAATCATTCATGAAGTTCAAGAAAAACAAACTTCCACTTTAAATAAGCATTTCTTTCAAAGTGAGAAATTCCACCTTATATAAGCCCATGTGGTTTTGCTAAAATGACAGAATCACTACTACAAAAAGATTTTACACCAAAAGCCCAACTAGACAAACAGAAAATATCTTTCAACTCTCCCATCATCAATAATAAAAATACCATAAAATTGATTCAGAGTGAATACACCAAACACTTATGATACACTAGTGGTGATATCAACAAATCAATTTTCCTTCCTTAGTAATTCCCATGTGAAAATCCATGGGACTAAATTCTCACAATCCAATCACTTTATCATGTCCCACACATAGCTGTTCCCTTCAGGGAGATTATCCACATGCAGACTGAAAAAATCTGTTTCTGAGGCTGT